TATATATATATATATATATATATATATATATAATAATCATACATTGACAACCTCTAAATAAGTCTTTAAATATAGCGTTAAATTAAATAACATTTATAATAAAAAAAATGTCTGTCAGGAAATGCAACAACAACGGTTTACTCTCTAATCGCTAATATTTTATTAGTCAAAAAAAGCAAGCAGGTTATATATTTTGTATCTGTATTTGCTATTTACATCTGTAAGACACAAACAAAAATGTTGCTACATTTATTGCTGTTATGTCAATCATAACAATCCTGATAGTGACTTCTGGCATCTATACACCAAAAAAATGTCTGTCAGGAAATGCAACAACAACGGTTTACTCTCTAATCGCTAATATTTTATTAGTCAAAAAAAGCAAGCAGGTTATATATTTTGTATCTGTATTTGCTATTTGCATCTGTAAGACACAAACAAAAATGTTGCTACATTTATTGCTGTTATGTCAATCATAACAATCCTGATAGTGACTTCTGGCATCTATACACCAACAAAATGTCAATTTAGGTGATTTTCATTCATAAAACCTGTAGTTTGTTGGTGACCTAAACAAATAATAAAAGGGTAAAAGGCTTCACACACACATCAGAGGCTGGTATATAGTTGTATGTGATTTGCAGAGGTCTGATCCTGTAATATCTGGAGTGTGTGTGTGTGTGTGTGTGAAGGTCATGGTTGGATGCTAATCTCCTGTGGCAGGATCATGATGAGAAGCAGCTGCACTTGTCTAACTCACTATCCACACTTGTACAGTTACGCTCGGATGAAATGGACTCCGCACAAATAAGGCAGCTCTTTAATGAGTCCTTCTTAAAGAGGAGGCTCAGCGTTTGCCAGCCTGATTGCTATGGACGGCACACGCTTTCAAGTCATGCAAACATTAGCAGAACAAATATTACTATTAAGATGCATATTAAATGTGAAAATCATTTAACATTATTAATAAATTATGCTCTTTACATTTTCATGTCTTCCAGATCCCTTTCATTATCTGAGGCCTGAAATCACCTGAGAGGGTCGTGTGGCTCAGCTGTCCCGAAGGGGGTACGGCATAAAGTCCCAAAGTCCTGGAATGAAGGGTTTCTGCAGACGGAGATACAAAACTCTTGGCAATAAAAATACAACTTCTTCACCACTGGATGGCACAGCCGGCAGATCAAAAGATCTCAAACATTCCCTTGAACTCTTCTTCAAAAGCCCTTCCAGCAGAATTATCCACAATCCCAGAAAACACAACAAGACAAGCTGAATCAAAACAAAAAGGAGACCTTTTTTCACTGAGAAACATGTTGAAGTGCAATATGAGAAATGGCCATATTCATACGAGACATTCGCAGCCACTCAGAGCCGCTCTTGTGAGGCCAGACGAACGCTCTGGGCTGGAAATAAAAGACAAATGTTTTATAGCAGACAGTGAACTTCTTCTCATGCATTCCTTGACATTTGAATGATGCTTTTGTTTTTTTTACATGAGGGACGACTGTAAAATTATACAGTATTCTGGAACTTGGGAGTTCAAAATCATACTTGTTTGAAGTAATTCCTATAGCGGTGCTGTAGTGTTAAAAGGTGCACTGTGAAAATGACTTTTTATTTTTAGCAACTATATTTTACTGATTTGATATGATCTGATATGCTTAAAACCGCAATATACATTTGGTCATCCCCAATAATACTTACAACCTTTCTAATGTTGTTTATCTTCTTGCCAAGAGATGGTAAAATACTAAAAGCTCTCAAAAATACTGATAATATACAGCCACAACAACTGAATGTTTTTTTATTAATTTATTTTGTATGTGTGTGAGTGTGTATCTGTATCCTCCAGATATTTTGCATAATTAAATCATTCATCGTATGATAATAAACTCTGTTTGTGTGTGTATGCACTTTGCTATATACATTTGGAAACAAAACCTTCATTTGGAAGCTTTTGCAGATGTTGGCAATTGCAACATTTATTCATAAAGCTAATATGGCTTTTTTTTTTTTTTTACGTTAATCCTAAATGTTTTCAGGATTTGGGTTTAGGATAAAGTTTAGGAATTGAATTAGTCTGCAGCAGGGTTATTATAGTTATTTGAAACTAAAATTAGTTTTATAATAATAAACAATACAAATAAACAAAATCACATTTTAAATGTAAAAACATTTAAATGGAAATAAAAAAATTATTTTATTAATTATTAATAATATTATTTAACTTGTTTCATTTCAGCTGGTTGCAAAGGCAGCATTTTTCATTTGAATTTAGTTTAACTTGATACTAAAATGGTACTAACATAACTAAAAGAACTGAAATAAAAATTCATTAAAACTAGACTTTTTTTTAAATGATGATGATGAAACAAACATGCAACACTTCACTTAAAATTAAAACAAATACAAAATATGAATCAAATCTATAATAGTATATCGATACTAAAATATCACTGGTAGTCATTATAATTCATTTGACATAAAAACAACAGAAGTTAGCATAAGTATGTGA